TTGTTACGTCAGTGCTATGTGGGAAGTTATACTCGAAGCGACGAGTGACTCACTACGATAATATATCAGAATACAAGCATCATTTAAAAGAGCAATTATCGTCCGCAATTATCGCAATAAAGAAATAATTTCAAGTTCGCTAGCGCTTTGATTCTTGGATGTATAGACCTCGTGTGTGAATCGCGCTAGATGTCTGTCTTGTTGACAAACATCGAGCATCGATGGCAAATCGCGAGGATTCAGCGATCCCACGATGATATCGATCACCAATTATTCGCAAAAAGCGATTGCGATTTCTTCCCATACTTGTTGCGAACGCGTAACAAGAAAGAATAAGACGATATTCAGAGCGGCGCGGATGTAATCGATTTATTCGACTGTCACCGCGTGAATCATCCTACGTACGGCGTCACCTTGTTTCGCCGAGCGCCGTAGACCGAGCGTCGGTTTCAAGAAATAACGTAGCGTGAACACCTCGTCGAAAACAATCTACTGTGCCAAATTATTCGACGAGGCTCAGTCGAACGAGGTGAATGTTCCGCGAGTCTTTACGTCGCTCCTTGTAACGCGATCATTTCCTACGAGAATCTCGATTATTTCCTACGCAATCGTCTCGTACGAGAGATAACATTTATCAGTCGCGTTTAAGTAATTGTCGTGATCCGTAAACATACTGTTGATTTCTACGACGATGTCAAGGTGAATATCACGCGTAATATGAAGAGAGAAATACGATAAGAGAATTTATACATACGCAAATTATTTGTTAGTTTCGATACATCCACGAGCGGTAATACCATTTTTAACAATTAAACTCGGATGAATCTCTCTCACGCCGTGCTTTAAAATTTTCGTCGGTTCAAATTAAACATTTATCACTTTCGGATCAAAAGCGCAAAATAATACATGAATTGTCGGGTAAAATGATAACGAAACATTTTAATATATTTAATCGCTTACTAAGAAATAATCTCTCTAAAGGATCGTCTACAATAGATAATGTAAGCTTGACATAAGAAGTATGAGGAGGAATAAAGAAATTAATCATTCCCGTTTTTTCCTCCTCCTTTATAATGTATATGCTCATTGTATAGTCATTTTTCCTATATGAGCATATATGATTATATCATCAAGAATTATTTGACGCTATATGAGAAGCAAATGATTTAACGTGATTAAACTGTTAGTCGACCATGACTGTCAATGTGTTTTATAACACAGAAAAATTTTTGCGAAAAATATTACCTCAGCCAGGATTTGAACCTGGACCTCCCCACACGCTAGGCAGGCGTCTCAAACAATTCGACTACCGAGGTAAACTGCTTAAGATTATAGCCACCGTTCATTTCTCTGACAATTGTTCTTCGCCGAGATCAACTAGTTTTTGGAATAAATTTGTTAGTTTAGAAATATGATTTTTCATATTTCCTCCTTCATCCATCTTTGAACTGGAAATTCTTTGCATAAGACTAACCTTAGTGCCGAGTGAATCCTTTCCGTGGTATTCCTTGAGCGCATGCTACGTTGCGCGTGCTGTCGTCTTGGTTCGAATTAGTCATAACTGACTATCTTCCACCAACAAGCCAATCATTGAGCGAGCCTGGTCGTCCCGTCTTTGCCGCTTTCCTACTATTTGTGCCGTCGTTGTTTAATTCTGGCTTTACTTTATTCGGAATGCTACACAAGTTTTCCTTGATCAGCAATAGTTCTATTTTATACGTCCAGGTAAAATAATTTTTACCATTCAAACAAGCAGAACTTTACTTTGAAAACATTTAAACTTTAGCTCTATCTGCGCCATCTTTCTCTCTGGGTCCATAACCTGTTGAAAGATTATTTATCTTTAAGTGTAGAGAAAAGGGCAGAGTTTTTACTGAATTGTTACAGCGCGATTTATTCTTGTATGACAAATTACACAGACAGACTTGAGGGTGGTGGTAAAGAAAAAAAATTAATACCTATCCGTTTTGTTCTATAATTTAAATTGCAAACTGAACTATGCAACAGATACTATTTCGACCTCATTATCTGCAACATCTTCATCCACATCTATATGTGTTATACCACAGATTAATAGACAGATCGCCAAAGGCCCGGGTGAAAACGAGACCACTACACACTTTGCCCCTTACCGACAGCGTTACCCCTATAGGAGCGAGTCTGTACTAAATA